AATAGCCTACTGCATTTTATGGGTTGTATTGGGCATTTAAAGGTATTTTAAGTGGTAAAAAGTACTAGGTGAGCTATAATCTTCTGAATGAAATCAAGTAATTTCAGGGCAGAAATAACCTTTCAGTCCATAACAAAAGGCTTCAATCATTTTCTGGCAAGTGAAATACTGCATTTTATGAGTTGTATTGGCCATTTAAAGGTATTTTAACGGTAAAAAAGAGTGGATTGGTTGGTAGGCCTACACATCAAGTAAAATAATGCAGTCATAAGGATAATTGCAAAATTGTCTTCATTTTATATCTAAATTGGCAGTAAGTCATGTTAATTAGGCTACAGCCCGTTTTCCAAATATAAACAAAGATATTACACATAGGCCTACCAAACATCACTTTTCGGCAGGACACCTGTCTTCACTGTTAGCAGGCTCATTCATGCATCAATATTCATGAGGTGTTTTGCTTCAACCATTTATGGCTGAATGTGGGCGTGTAGAGGGCAAGATGTGAGGCTAATCCACGTGTGCACATATCCCGTTTGAGTTTTCTGTATGTCTATAATGAGACACCTGGTCTCCTTTTCAAAATCCTGACAAATAGTAAGATGTGTCATCTTTTACACTTACATGCATCTTTTATTACTGGAGGGAACTGGTTTCGGGTCACAGCAAGGATGATGAAGATGATCAGAGGCCAGATGATCAGAGTCAATGACCATATCTGTAACACAATACAAAAAACAGTACAATAATCAGTTTATCAATATCCAGAATGACAGGCTACTGAAAAATGAAGTATCCAATCTGTAAAGGTGCAGTTGCAAATGTCATTTATTCCCCGCTAAAATTTAGGCTAATAGGAATCCACAGGAATCCAACATAAAACAATAGTTCCCACTGCACTTGAAAGCCACTCACCGGCTGTCTGATGATTGCCAGCCCATTCTTCCAGAGAAGAAGTTGCAGCTGCCTGAAGAAGGCCATCAGTCTAAAATAAGACACAATATTTGAAAATCATCCTTCCATCAGCTAGGCTGATTGGCTCCATTATAATGTAATTTGAAATGTAGTGTATTGTTGTTAATCCAACATGGCGGTGTAGCCTATTAGGGCCAGGTAGGCTAATACAAATGAGGGAGCTGTGGGACTGTCTGGGTTAATATTCCGAGATAAAACTCCTTTCTGAGATTTAAGTCTTATGCTACATTTAAAAAAGCGTGAATATTCTCTGAGATTAAAATGGCATCTTCCTTTTGTTCAAAGACCATGAACTAAAAAAAAACTCTTGTCATGTCCACACTGTTTCTTGTCTTGGATTACTGATAAGGGAACATTATTATTGGCATTAATTGCAGTTAAACGTGACAATATCTACACTGAAGTGCATTCAGAGGATCTGACCAAGAGGAAGAGATACCATTTAGGCTATAGAATAGATGTGGAGTCTGGGGAGACAGCCTTTCTCAGTCTTGAGCCACATTGGAAGCTTATTTCTCAGGGGACAGAGTCTGCATAAGATATAACAATCTCACAGAAGTTCATTGTACCGAAACACTTGGTGTGGTGTTATAATTCCCAGTAAACAAGTAGGCCTTTAACATAAGGTAATGATTTAGGATATTAAATGCTGGGCATTGATATCTTTGCTTGTCACAAGTTGCTGAAAGTTATGTGTGACTGACAAAAAATGACTTGAATGATGATGAAAATCATATCAATAGCTTTACCATGCGCACTCGAAGCCTAATAATAAAGTAATAATGTACAAATAATCCATAGAACCTACCTGGCTGCGTCTGTCCTCTTTAATTGGTCAAATGAATAGTTATCTGACTGTTTCTCGCAGGCTTGTTGGGTGGACATGGCGCTGGGTGGCCTCTAACACCTTTCCATCAGTCGGTTATGGGGGTGAAAAACAGAATAAATTCACGCTCAGAAACTAAAAAATCCTTCTTCGGTGACGCCGCAGTTATTGAAGCCTAAAGGATAAATGTAACATCAGCCTTCACCCTTCTGCTCCTTGTAGCGACACCCTCATGGGCGTGTTCTCAACCCAGAGTTGAGATCAGGAGCCAGAGTTGCTGTACAGGCTTCTCTGCGCTTTAATTAGAGCACTTTCCCACCCAAACCCCCATAGTCACAGTGTTTGCCCCCAGACCACTTAAATTAATTAAATCTAAATATAAACACTTTAGTTATCCCCGACAGAAAGTGTTTCCCCTGCCGCGGGAGCGCGCGTGCATTTAGCGGTGAAGACGGACCTTCGACTTCATCAAAGTGAATGAAAAATATTCCATGTGGATTGTTTAATCTACCATTATAGTATCGTTTTATTAACGAGGTTTGTGTAGAGCAAGCTAGCACTTATAAACGTTTTTATAGGCTTACGGTATGTGTTACCGAACTTCGTATTATTCATTGCACTCAATTGAGAATTTCACTCGTAAAGCAAACATTTATTTCGCGATCCTTAAAACAGACAAAGTTATTATTACAGGTGATTTTAATATTCATATGGGCGTCGACAATGGTAGCCTTAGTGCTGCATATATCTCATCTCTATATCTTAAACCCAATCACGGTTTTAACCACACCTTGTTCTGGCTATGGCTATGCCTAATTGTCTTTCCACAGAATCCCTTTTTTATAGGAGCACTATTTAATAACTATTTAAATTCCTTTACCGGACTACACCATTTGGTGTGGAAGATTCCTAATCATTATGACAACATTCTTTATCTCCTGCCCTCAACCGGTACCGATTTATCTTCAAACTCAGGAACCTTAGAAACAGCTGTAAAACCTCATATACCTATCACATTGTTTTTTCAACCTTCACCAACTAACTTTAACTTATTTTATCCAAGCCATCAACCTGTCTCAGCTGCTTAAAGAAGTTTTGCCCTTATTCTTTACTAGACAAGATCAACCTGTTAAAAACAGGGTCGGTACCACATTCTTTAAAAATAGATGTAATGAAACCTGTTCTTAAAAAGATCTTGATCCAGAGGTTTAAGAGAACTAACCTATATCTAACCTTCCTTTTCTCTCTCTAAGATCTTTGAGAAAGCAGTCGCCAATCACTTGTGACTTTCTACATAATAAACTGATGTGCTAGTTAATTTGAGGTGACAATTACAATGATCTTCTAATTGAATCAGACAAAAGATTTGTCTTGTTAGATCTTAATGCTACATTTGACACCACTGACCATCATATCCTATTACATAGACAACATTTAACTGCCATTAAAGAAACTGCGCTAAGCTGAAGTCCTATTTATCAGATCGATCTCAGCTAGTAAATTTTAATCATGAATCCTGCATGCCTCTGAGTTAAAGTTGAGTAGAAGTATAAAGTAGCAGAAAATGGAAATAACTAAGTAAAGTACAAGTACCTCAAAATTGTACTTACAAAGTGAGTAAATGTAGGCCTACTTAGGTATTCTTCACCACTGCTAATCCACCACTGATGGTCAAATTTCAGATCTCATCTTAATTGGCCTCTCTTTAAAGCTGCAATGATCTTAAATTTACAATACCATCACGTTACTGTGAGGATTATACTTTGTGTAATATATTCTTTAATGACATGAAGTAGTCAATGAGCTGATATTACAAGTGTCTTGAGTGCTGCTTTAAAATTAATTGTATCTATGGTTCTTATTCAGGGTCATTCTGGAAACTTGAGTAGTGATTAATGGAGGGAACTATGTGATTAAATGTTACAAAAATTTTACATTGTTGTTCAATAGTAGAGCACTGATTTACAACACCAGGGAGGCATGGGTCTCCACAGGGAAAAATCACACTGACCTGATCATGTGGGAGAAAAATCTAACCAAAGCAGTGAATTCTCTAGACGCTGGACCTCTTATGACTATGTTGAGAGGACAAAGACAAAATAAATCCAAGTCATACTTACAGATAAATGATAATGTAACAAACACTAGTATAAGATATAAAGAAGATTAAAAAAATAGTATAAAATTACTCTCTCAGTTGCTACTTTTACACACAGCTATGCAGGCAAGAAGTCAAGATTTCAACAATTACAGACAGAAGAAAATCTGCTTTTAATGTTATTAAAGGTTGATGTGACTGAAGCTAATGTCATTCTTACACACACACCTTGTGTTTGCATAAATACAACTGTTGATACGGACAATGCTGTATGACACGCCAGTATTATACATTATGCCATGTTTTTCCTGAGAGTAAGGTCTCAGGGTTGGGCACAAGAAGGGCACAGGTGACGCTATTGTACTGTTAAGATTGAAACAACAACAAAAATGTCATCCACAAGGTAGGGCTACTGGTTTTCTATCTTGATACCGTGTCAAAGTAATTTAATCAGGTTGCAGAAGCTAATCTAGACACAGATTTTAAATAGTACTGGATTCTTAGGCTTAAACTGTACCCTTCTCAGAACCACAATGACACACAAATAAAGAATGTATTACTCCAATCACTATTATCTCGCCGCATTTAGCACACATCAGCACCCTGCAGTCAATTTAAAGTTCTACAACATGTAAAAGCACTGTAACTACTATACATGCTCAACAATACTCCCATTACTGGGAATGATCCATTTTATTGACATAGTCTGAATTTATGTGAATTCTCTAATAATCGAGTTTCTCTCTATCTCAAAACATCCAAATTTGATGGTATAAGGATTCTAAGTACATTTACACCATCATTTCTAAACTTCAGCTGTTGACTTAATCTGGTGAAAATATGAGTATATGGGTGCGTGAGCGTTGGTGCAGTAGGCACTCAAAAATCCATCCATCCATCCATCCATCGTCAACCGCTTATCCTGCGTACAGGGTCGCGGGGGGGCTGCAGCCAATCCCAGCTGACATTGAGCAAAAGGGGGGGTACACCCTGGACAGGTTGCCAGTCCATCGCAGGGCCACACATAGACAAACAACCACTCATGCTCACACCTAAGGACAATTTTAGGGCAAAACAGCAAATAAACTTCATTTTCACACATCGGTTTTCTGCCATGTTTAATCTCTGCTAAAAACTTTTATCCAACACCAAAATTACACATCTACTGCTGTACAAACCAAGTCATGAGACAATGCATATGTGTGTGCATCCTCAGGAATGGGAAAAAATAGGGCGTGTTGTTGTAAGAAAACAGCTTCATGACAGACAAGTGTTGGTAAGACACAGTGGCTCCTTTGTGGCATTTCAGTTCATTTCAATAGTAGCAGTAACACTATAATGATGAATCATTTGAAAATAAAATTTGTCATGTTGTTTCTTACTTTTCCAACATAAGTAATATGGTAGTGCAATCCCATGTAACAAATACTAATACTGGCACTATATATGAAATGAAAGTTTTTCACACAAACACTGAAATACGATGGAAGCAGAAGAAAAACACACCTCTTAACAATTCATCAACTGGGAATTTTTAGGTTCTATTTTAAAAGGTGCCCTGTGGAATTATTAACCACTTGAAGCGCTTTAGAGCAGTGCTTATGTTCGAGGTTCCCCGTTGTGTTTGGCTTCCTTGCCATGGTACAAGTACATATATGTATGTGCACTATAGTGCGGCGCCAGTTCAATGCTAATCCAATGATAAACAGTTGGTGGAAGTAACGCATTAAAAATGAGGCTATGTGCTAAAGGCAGTGAAGAAGAAGACATTGCAAGTTTCAAAGTACTTCAAAAAAAAAACATTTAGCAAAATGCATCCAACGTTGTTTGTTACACAATGCTTTTTGGTAAGATACACTGAATGCAAATACTTCTTTACTTAACTCAACAGGGTGTCTTTAATTAGAAATGCATAATCTTCATACTATGTTTGTGATCCCTGAATGCTCTTATGTGGTGCTATTTGTGAAAAAACAAATAGTAAATTTTAAAAATAGAATAGTTAAAGTTTAGATACTCAACATCTTTGAATCTCACAAAATATTAAACTGAGAATACTTCCACACAACACTGTCTGTTGCAGTCACTATAAGACACTTTTCCTCACCAGGGGTGCTGGTGTTAGTAATAAATATCAGAAATTATGTGAAATACCAGGCCGTCATGAAGGATCCACATTTAACATATAACTTACAAAATATTTGCAGATTTAGTTGTTGAATGCAACGGTAATACATGTTTGGCAGCCCAATCTTGGCCTTTTGAGCATAATGTTCAGTCACAGTGGTCACTATAGACCTGATTGCACAACTCTGAAACCATAAAAGTAAAAAATACACCAAAGAACAGTTAAAATATCCTGTATATTCCATACAAACACATCTAACTTTTAACACTGCTGTTGGCACTTGTGTGTCAAGAAAGTCAATATCATCAATACACTATTTTCCAGTGTGTGGGCTGTTCACATTGTTTTTCGGAGTCCCCACAGAAACGATTGTATGTAGTTTTGGGGTCAAAGCCCAGGATCTCCCTCTCTTCATGGATTCGGAAAGAGAAGGTGGACACTGATGTTCCTATGAAGAATCTGAAAAAAAATGCACAAACAAAAGGGGACAGTGATGCAGGAGATTTACACCATGGAAAGTTACATGAGCATGAGACACACATGTAAGAGCAGCAACACCCTGACTAGTTTTTCAGGTTTAAATATTTTTCATGGGCAGAATTCCTTCCTGTTACAATGCTGCTAAAATATCTAAATTATGCAGCATTAAAAATACAAACTGGCATTAACTTGTTAGTCCTCAATTAGGACCTTTTGGAAAATGTTACATAAGTACAATGCCTTCAAAAAAACACTCACTCTTACAGTGAGGTCAATTTTTAGTTAAAGTTTTTTTAATAGTCAACGCACATTGATTACATGCAAAATGTAGTGTGATGTAATATATATCCGTACGAAGTGCACGCCTGCTTACTTCCTGTCAGCTCTACCGTAATGTTAGTTTCACTGCCAATGTCTTTAAAGTACTGCTTCATCCTTATTTCAGCCTCTTTTCACAGTATAGTATCTACTGTTCATTTCTGTATAGTGTTTTAGTGCTTGCTACACACCCTGGACCTGGTGATCTCTTTTCTGATGTTGACTGCCCATTCTGCCCTTATCTCAGTGTTAGTTGGAAAGGATTGAAAGCTCACAGAGGAGAACTAAGCTGATTAAGAGCAAAGAGGGACTGAGCAAAACTCCGTTGAGCTGACGGCCCTCCTCATAAGCTTGACGCTGCTTTTCTTCATTTTAGCTATGCTAGCTGACAGGCTAAACAGCTGGCTTTGTAAAACACTGAGTTGAAAATAATTAGCAATATGTACAAATCTAACTGTGAAAAAGATGAAACAGTACTGTCAATAAGGAGATCGGCGGTGAAGCTAACGTTACTGTAGAGCTAACAGAAAGTAAGCAGAAGTGCAGTTTGTAAAACAGATACGTCACACTGCAATTAAAGTAGTCAATATTCCAAAATATTTACAAAACATTTACAGTAACAAAACCATTTAAACTAATTTACCTTGCATGAGCACATATCCACTGGTCAATGATGGCCACCCCTCCATCTTTAAGGAGCTCCAGGTCCTCTATGGACGGCTCAAAGCGCACCATGTCTGGCAACAACCTTTTCAGCTCCCTCAGTTCTTCAAGGTTACAGAGATTACACAGGTTTATAAAAACAATAAAACATGTATAGTGTAATACTATTCTTATCTTATTGCGTCAAAGCTGTTTGAAATGGTTTTAGAACAGAATTTAGATTTCATCACACAATATATTGGTCTTTTAAATTAGTTATAGTTGTATTGACCTTCAAAACACAATTTCATAAGCTGCAAAATACTGATGCACTTGTGTCAATATTACAAATTTCTCCTTACCCATCGCTCATTTAAATGTACAATAAATTGTAAATCATCTCTGAATGTACTGTTGTGTCATCACCTTCCCCATCGGCATCTGTCGCTACAAACACGTGGTCGAGTTTGTGCTTCTTCATTAAGCTCCGCACTTTTTTGGCTGCCCCCTTAAGGCTGGGTACATCCTCTCTGTGACCCCAGACAAAGTCCTTCCTGCGCAGGTGGACTCCCAGATATGAACCACCTTTAGCTGAGCCCAGCTTGGCCTGAGGAGGAAATAAAGAAACAAACAGACCACTGTTGCTTGAAACTTAAAATGTGATCAGCAAAAGGCTAAAATGAATAGCTGTTTTTAGAATTAAGTGATCAGAATGTCAATCTAGTTTTGTACAGTGCTGTGAGTCTAATGTAATCTACTCTATAAAAGATTTAAAGGTTCAGTGTGTAAGATTTCTGAGAGATTTATTGACAGAAATGCAATATAAGATCCATAATTATGTTTTAGGTGGTGTATAATGACCTTATATAATAAACCGTTATGTTTTTTTTACCTTAGAATGAGCCATTTATATCTACATAACCGCGGGTCCCCCCGTCCATGGACGTCGCCACGTTGCATCATCATGTTTCTACAGTAGCTGAACACGGACAGATGTTTTGTCACTGCATTCGTCTTGTTTTACTTCTGGTAGAATTCAGGCAGTGTAGACAGTCATCACTATGTTGAATACGTATGTTAGAAGAAGTAGTAGTAGTAGTATTGACACAGACTTTGGATAGCTCAGTTGGTAAAGCGCAGGACTTGCACCCCAAGGGTTGGGTGTTTGATCCCACCTTGGGGCAACTTTTTTTTCTTCCTCTGTTGAACAAGGACTCTGCAGCGATGTGGTGCAGTGTTTGTGTTTGATCAGCTTCCATCAACCTACGTACACTTTTTAATTTCTCTGTATCTCCAGTCAGCGGAATCACATTTTCTGACGGCTCTTTCAAGGGTGTCAAGCTGGCTACTCTCTTGTCTCAGAAGAGATACCTTTTTGCTGTGTCAGACACTGTAGCTGTCCTACGCACTTTGAAAGGGTAGGGGACAGTAGTAGACTGAACCGATGGTGGCAATTCACAACCCTCACCACTACATACGATATATCTTACCCACTGAACCTTTAAAAAACTAAAACAATCACAGATGCAGACTCAAACAGCATGTACATACACAGATGATTAAAAGAGTATTGTGAAGGTGTGAAAGTTTTATAGATAACAGCTTTTACATGAACCAAAAAAGTGTTCTATGCCACAGTGAACATTGACAGCAAACATGTATAGAGGAGAGGATTTGACTAACTAACTCACTTTCATGCGAGTCCATCCTCACTGTAATGGTATGGTCTCTGTCATCTGTAGAGTTCAGGTACTTTGCTCGGAAGTCATCTGCTATGAGACGAAGGTGCTTGGCAAAAACCATGCGCCGCGTCTACATCAAACACAGACAAACGCAGAGACTCCCCCATCAGGTTTACTTTCAAGATAGTGTGCCTTAAACACACGTCTTAAAAATACCCCGCAATAACTGAATTCCATGTTTTTTCAGTGAGAAAAACAGTTAGCAAAGTTACATGTTAATGTGGTTAAAAATATGTCATCTAATACCCATCACCAACATTACTAACAAGGGTACGGTATTAGCCTATTACTTACATCCCAGTAATCCTTCCCAGCATAGTGATCATGGAGGAGTGTCTCTGCTCGGTCAAGCATAACTGATCTGCAAAATAGCATTATACAACCAAGTTTATCCGTGTCGTTGTCGTGAAGATCCGAGAGAACCAACTGTAAGTAACCGTAATAAAATAACAATGAAGTCCATCTTTCAGCTATTTACAAATCAGGGCTGCAACTAACAATTATTTTCATTCTCGATTAATTGGCCGATCATTTTATAGTATATGTTAGTCTATAAAATGTTGAAGAATTGTGAAAAACTCATCGCAATGTCCCAGGGTCCGAGCATGATGTCTGCAAATTGCTTCTTTTGTCCAACCAACAGTATAAAACCCAAACTCTTCATTGGTTATCACAAACAGACAAAGAAAAGCAACAAATCCTTACATTTAAGAAGCTGGAACCAGCAAATGTTTGACATTTTTGCTGGAAAAAAATGACGACTAATCGATTACAAAATAGTTGACTTACAAGAATCAAGACTCCACTTTCCCATAGACACATATGATCACTTTTAAGTCTAGACAGGGTCATCTTGGTATTTGTCGGCTTTTATCTAGTTAGTTAGCTAGCTACACTGGTCATCTAATGGTAACAACGGGATTAGTAATGTTT